TTACAACATAGCCACGAGGAGAAAAGCTTTAAAAAATCCAAGTGAAGAATATGGGAAAATTTTGGAAATTGTTGGCAGGTACAGTCCAAAATCTGGGAGTGGGTCTCTGAGATTTGTCACCAAGGTAATATGTTCTAGTGTTCATAAATTGTGAACAGTTGCTGAGCTAGATGGTGAAAAGTAAAACTAGTTTCTGGTCAAGGTTTAGCCACCAATTTTGCACTTTCTCTCATCTCCCCAGGAAAGAGCAGTTGGTCTTTAGATCAATGAGAGCTCTTTGATGGCTGCAAAACAAACTGACTCTAGCCAACTTGAGCTAAAAAGAAATTTAGTGGAAGGCTGAGTTACAACATGAAGTGTGTGCAGTTGCCCCTTGGAGAGAATAAGAGCCAGGGTGCCTCTGGGACTTAATGTCATTACTGTACACCAGTTGTTTTTATTCTTTTCCTGACTTTGCTCTGGAGTCAGTTTACTAACAGTGCATTCGATGATCATGTGCCCATATCTATGGGGAGAAGGTTTCTTGATTGGCAGTCTTATTAAGGGTGCATATCAAATAGAATGGAATAGAGGTAGTTTCCCAAAGGAAGATATGAGAGGCTGTTACCAGAAAAAGGAGAAGGGATTCAGGACAGATGAAAACATTATATCCATGACAGACTTACTCTGCTGGTACAGATGGTACAGATGGCTTCAGTATAGGCTCTCCGAACCCACATATCATTGATTGGGATATATAATATATATATATTTCTAAAAAAATCTAAAATGAGTCAAACATTTCACACCTCTCTCTATATATATGTATTTTGAGACAGAATTTTGCTCTTGTTGCCCAGGCTGGAGTGCAATGGTGCAATCTCAGCTCACTGCAACCTTTGCCTCCTGGGTTCAAGTGATTCTCCTGTCTCAGCCTCCCGAGTAGCTGGGATTACAGGCACATGCCACCATGCCTAGCTATTTTTTTTTTTTCTTTTTAGTAGAGAGGGGGTTTAATCATATTGGTCAGGCTGGTCTCGAACTCCTGACCTCAGGTGATCCACCTACCTCAGCCTCCTAAAGTGCTAGGATTACAGGCGTGAGCCACTACGCCTGACCATTTTTCAGTATTTCTTTTTTTTCTGAATCAGAGTTTCACTCTTGTTGCCTAGGCTGGATGGAGTACCATGGTGTGATCTCAGCTCACCGCAACCTCTGCTTCCCAGGTTCAAGCGATTTGCCTGCCTCAGCCTTCTTGAGTAGCTGGGATTACAGGCATATGCCACCATGCCTGGCTAATTTTGTGTTTTTAGTAGAGATGGGGTTTCTCCATGTTAGTCAGGCTGGTCTCGAACTCCTGACCTCAGATGATCTGCCCGCCTCGGCCTCCCAAAGTGCTGGGATTACAGGCATGAGCCACCGCACCTGGCCCATTTTTCAGTATTTCTAAAAAAATCTAAAATGAGTCAAACATTTCATCTCAATAAAATGACACCGGTTTATACATTAAGTGTCTTTGCTTTTTCTTGAAATTTTATAAATCAGTGTCAGAATATTCATTACCTCCTAAAAATAAAGAGTTCTAGTTGACTGTTTTGGTTCTAGGTGTGGTAAAGTGAAACATTGTTACTGAAATGCATTTTGCTAGGCACAATCCTTCCCTTCACAAGCTCCGTAGAGAAAAGAGAAATAAATGACTGCCAACCAAGAAAAGGTTGGGAGATACTGGAATAAGACCCAGGGGCAGGAAGAAGCCAGTGAGGAGGGCGTATTGAGGGCTCTGAGAGAGAGTAAAAGCAGGGCTTGTTAGAGCTAGCTTCTCAAGATGTCCTTGAGGCAAACCAGACCTTTGGGACACTCTGAAAATAAAACTGAAAGTGAAAAGATTGTGGGCCAAATGTGGTGGCTCACGCATGTAATTCCAGCACTTTGGAAGGCCGAGGTGGGCAGATCACCTGAGGTCAGGAGTTTGAGACCAGCCTGGCCAACATGGTGAAACCCTAAAAGTACAAAAAGAATTAGCTGGGCCTAGTGGCAGGCGCCTATAATCCCAGCTACTCGGGAGGCTGAGGCACGAGAATCGCTTGAACCCAGGAGGTGGAGGTTGCAGTGAACCGAGATCATGCCATTGCACTCTAGCCTGGGCAACAAGAGTGAAACTCTGTCTCAAAAATAAATAAAAATAAATAAAAAAGAGATTGTGGTGTGATATCCTGGATTCTATCAGCAACCTATAAAAGCAGAGAGGAGCCTGTGTTTTGATTCAGTCACATTTAGCAATTTATATCTCTATGAAGTTTCTGCTGGTTTATTTTTCTGTGGGTAAAATATTAATAGGCTGTATGAAGATATTTTTCTTTATGTGCACCTTTGTTTAGATTACTCAACTCCAGCAACTTATTTAACTAAAAGGGGCCTCTGCCATCTAGTGTGTGTTTTTGGCAACTTTTTTCTTACTCTTTTGTTTTTCTTTTCCAGGTATTCAATACACAATGCAGGCATTAGTTTCTCAGTTAAAAAAGTAAGTTATTGGTTTATGGGGGATGGTTTTGTTTTATGAAAAGAAGAAGGGATTTTTAATAGTTTGCTGGTGGAGATAAGGTTATGATGTTTTCAGTCTCAACCGTGAGACAATAAATCCTTGTGTCTTCTGCTGTTTGTTTATCAGCAGGGAGAGACAGTAGCTGATGTTAGGACACTACCCAATGCCTCAACTGTGGACAATATTCGCTCCATCTTTGGAAATGCTGTTAGTCGGTATGTCGATAACCTATATAAAAAAATCTTTTACATTTCTTATCTTGGTTTATCATTCCATCACATTATTTTGGAACCTTTCAAGATAGTACCTGCCTTAAGAATTTGCTTTAGTCAAATACACAGGCTTGTTTTACGCTTCAGATTTGTTAATGGAGTTCTTATTTCATGTAATCAACACTTTCTGGGTGCATGTAATCTTCTAGATGCTGTGGCGTGAATCATGTGTTCTTTCAAGGTCTTAGTCTTGAAAATATTTGTAGTGTAGTAGAATTATTTTATCCTCCAATGCTCCTTCTTTTCCTTGTATTTCCAGTATCATCACTTTAGGATTTCACTTATTTATCATTCAACGTTTATTAATTGCCTCTCATATTCCAGGCTTTGTGCTAGAAGTTAGGGATATAAAGACAAATAAAATATTTCCTGCCCTTGAAGACTAGATTTGTGTCATTAAATCTTCATTTTCAAGAAAAGCATAAGAGGGGAAGGTGTTTGCATTATGGATTCCTCATAGTGCTCCTCTCTGCATATAAAAACCACCATTTCCATCATAGATTCCTAGCTGTCTCAGGACTTTATAAAGCCCAAAGTGCCTATGTCATAATCTGAGGGGAAAAATACTGAGACCCTTCCATATATGGGAGGTATATGGATGAGACAGCTCCTGACTTCATTTTTCCCAGAAATCTGAAAAGCAGCAGCAGTCATTCCAGAGCCCAGTTTCTACTTTGAAGGACAAATTTTTTATTCTTTGAGCTAAACCGACTAAGGAACAATTAGTTTGCTTTTAATTTACTATTTTCATTCTAATCGCGAATGAATTAGTTTTTTAAAACTGCTCCCAGAGTGAAGGGAGAGCTCTGCTTGTACAGTGTAACTTTTCAGAGCTTCTTTAACTAGATTTTAAGATCAGAATTAGTTGTTGGGAAATCTTAGGGATTGTACAAGTTTAGAAATCCTCTAGAGCAGCAGTTCCCAAAGCAGGCTTCCAGAACACTAGCTTCTTGGGGGCATTTTGAGAAAAAGAGTTGCTGGTTCAGTGTGTATGGGAAGTGCTGCAAGCCATACCCTCCGTTGAAGACACTCAGACCACACATTACTGCATAAAAAGCTTCCACCAGCCATTCGGCAAACCCTTATTGAATGTCTGCTATTTCCTGGGTATTGTGCTATATGGTAGGGATATAGTAGTGAATAAAGAAGAAATGATGCTCTCCCTCAGCTGACTTTTCAGTTGGAAAGACACATGAAATAATTATGCCATTCATTAGCAGATTGTCCTTGATGCCTCACTGGAAAAATAAAGGACATAATGGGAAACTCTGTAGGGTGAGAGAAAGGGATCATTAGAGAAGGTTCTTTGAAAGAAATAATTTTTGAAATATGAAGGATAAATAGAATTAACTAGGTACCAATAGGTTAAGAGTAGAGCTTTCCAGACAGGGACTAGTTCTTCGGAAGGTCTCCAGACAGAAATAAGTGTTGCTTGTCTGAGGACCTCTTTTTCACCTATTAACCTTCCCTCCCCAATAGACACTCCTGGGAACAACACACACTGTAGAACCGCATTGTGGTGCTATTCGGTATAGCAAGTAATTCAGCGGAGATAAGTTCTTGGAATCTCATCTTTGGGATTTGTTTACTAAGATACATTCAAGTTTCAGCAAAATAAGGTCTCAGAGCTTGGACTCATTGTTCTGTTTTAGCAATTAGAGCAGTACCTGGCGCATAGCACAGGTGCTTGAAAACACTGACCGAGTAGGATGGGTGGGTGGGTGGGTGGGTGGATGGATGGATGGATGGATGGATGGATGGATGGATGGATGGGATGGTTGTTGGGTGAATGGATGAACAGACAAATGGATGGATGAATGGACAGGCACAGGAGGACCTCAAATGGACCAAGTCTCCGGGGCCCTCATTTCACAAAGTTAGTTTATGGGAAGGAACCTTGTGTTTTTAAATTCTGATTCTTTTGTAATGTTTGAGTTTTGAGTATTTTCAGAAGCTTCGGAATCTCTTTTCTAACCAGAGAACTGATAGAAATTGGATGTGAGGATAAAACCCTAGCCTTCAAAATGAATGGTTATATATCCAATGCAAACTACTCAGTGAAGAAATGCATCTTCTTACTCTTCATCAACCGTAAGTGAAAAAGAACCACATGGGAAATCCACTCACAGGAAACATCCACAGGGAATTTTATGGGACCATGGAAAAATTTCTGATCCATAGGTTTGATTAAACATGGAGAAACGTCATGGCCAAGTTTGGTTTTATTGGGAAGCATGTATAATTTTTGTGCTAAGTCTGCGCTTAGCCCTCCCACATGTGCTCATTGCTGGTTGACTGTTGGAGTCTGGTTCTCACCTCTAAGAGGAAGCCCAGGAGAGGGCATAACACGCTCCTGTGAGCCAGCACACCTTCCTCACCCTGATGGTGTCAGAGTCTTTACAAGCAAGCCCTAGCCAGAACATTGCTGCAAGAGATCAAGGGCCACATTTGAAATTGCACAGCAGGACACGGAAAAGGAGTACCTTAGGTATAGGCATTGTCATTAAAGAAATTGCTAAGATACTTGAGATTTTCCTTTTTAAGGAATGAGCTTTATGATACAAAGAGAAGTTCTAAAAATTAGGGAGGAAATTAACTAAATTAATTAGGATATTTCTCAGATTCGTTTACAGTTTTTATCTCTCTGCTGACATAGTGTTTACATGATTGTTATTTACTAAACAAATGCTATTTTATATTCTGCTCCTTATAACTTAATTGTTTATTACAAGGTTTTGGTGGTGACCTAGCAACAACAAATAATCCCAAACACAGTCTGAATTTTTCGTTTTCCATCCAGAAATAAGATGAATCTTTCCATTTCTGTGTTTTCAGTTTTCATCATTTTTATCTTATAGATTACTTATCTTTATTGTTTTAAAGCATTTAATAATAATTTTATAGTTTTTGTTTTGTTTGCTGTTGGAAATGGAATATTCCCTCCTTCCATTTAGAGTGCTAACCAGTCGTAAATGTCTCAAAATATGCAGTTTTACAGCAGTTGTTCAAAGCAATACAGGAACAGTAAGGACAGAGCCAATCATTTTACAAACACATTCTGTTAAACTGATGTCTATTAGCAGAGTTTTTCCTATTTTATTAGGAAGGACTTACACCTGATATATAACAAAGATTGTGTTAATCAAGGCTCAGAAAATGTTTTTCATTAGTTTTTTTCCTAACCATGAAGAATAACTGCTTTGTAACACACATGCTGGCTATAAAGCAGACAAAAAATTCAATGTAGGTGCTCTCTGACTCTCCTCTGTCCGTGTTTCTGTTGGGGCTGCTTACCACAGCCTCTGCATTATGATTAGCTAATGTGTTCACAATATCAAGTTCCCAGTAGCAAAGAAAGGTCGAGCTCTTATGCATGCCATTCATTTATCTACACTGTGCAGGCGCACTCAGGTGGCAGAGACAAAGAACACTCCTTTGGCGCATCTCAAGTTCAGAATTCTCAGCAGAGGGGCTCCAGCTGTCCTTTTGTCAGGTGCCCACGCCTGCTCCAGGCCTGTGTGGTCAGGACACATGTTACAGAGTACAGTGACATTAATGGTGGGGCCATGGATGTGGTGAGCACTCAGAGGATATTAGTCTCTTCATTGATAAAGTCACAACCACTCTTCCTGTTGGAAATAAAAAGATTTGACATATCCTTGTCTACAACAACACAGGACAACAGATAATCAGCAGGTCATCTAAAATCTGTCCAGAGAGAAAGGAGAGCTGTGTTTCCTGAAAATACATCTTCCTCTGATTTTAGTCTTATTTTTTTCTGCCTTTATTGCTTTCTACCCTCTCCAAACTAGCCTCATTTCCTAAATTACCTTGAATTTGCATTGACACTTGTACTGCCCGAAATTCTGGAAAACTCATTATGGCTGCTCCACCGTCGGAACTTCCTGAGCAAAGTTAGTTGCTCTCTCGGCTCACTTTTTAGCACACATAGCTCTATAATAGTGCTGGCCACTTGGGATTGGAATTGCTTTATTTATCAGCATGTTGTCTCCCAGCACTTGGTGTGTGTGATATCCAGTATGTATTTGCCGAATGAAAAGTCTGAGGGCTGACATCATACTTCCCACTGTGCCCAGCAAAAGCACAGTTAGTCCACATGAGCTAATGGGGGCAAAGGGAAGTGAGGAGGGAGAATGTATTACCTTATCATGTTTTCTGTTACTTGACTGAAGTAAAACAGTCCCAAGCCGATAGTAAGATACTGGGCTGGGAAGTGGTGACAGGTAAAGGTGCACCTTTCTTCCTGGGGATGTGATGTGCGTATCACTACAGAAATGTTTTTCCTGAGGTGATTTCATGACTTCGTATGAATGTACACCTGTGACCTCACCCCTCAGGACAGTTTTGAACTGGTTGCTTTCTTTTTATTGTTTAGATCGTCTGGTAGAATCAACTTCCTTGAGAAAAGCCATAGAAACAGTGTATGCAGCCTACTTGCCCAAAAACACACACCCATTCCTGTACCTCAGGTAATGTAGTACCAAACTCCTCAACCAAGACTCACAGGGAACAGATGTTCTCTCAGGCTCTCCTCTTTGAAAGAGATGAGCATGCTAATAGTACAATCAGAGTGAATCCCATACACCACTGGCAAAAGGATGTTCTGTCCCTTCTTACAGGTACAAGGCACAGTTTTCCTTCATTTATTCACTAATTTAGCAGAACCTCACTAAGAGCCTCCTATATGCCAGGCTCTGTGTTAGCAATAAAAAAAAGGAATGCCATGCCTCACCCCATCAGGAGGTGCTGACAGCTTGTAGGCAGAGTGGAAACAGATGTGCTCTGAAGGCTCTAAATATTACCTCTGCTGGGGTCAGTTGGGAAGCCACAACAGCTACTGTTTTTCTTCCATAAAAGACAATCAGCTGGGCATGGTGGCTCACATATGTAAATCCCAGCACTTTGGGAGGCTGAGGTGGGTGAATCACAAGGTCAGGCGATCAAGACCAGCCTGGCCAACATGGCGAAACCCCGTCTCTACCAAAAATACAAAAATTAGCCAGGCATGGTGGCGGGCACTTGTAGTCCCAGCTACTCGGGAGGCTGAGGCAGGAGAATCACTTGAACCTGGGAGGTGGAGGTTGCAGTGAACTGAGATTGTACCACTGCACTGCAGCCTAGGTGACAGAGCGAGAGTCCGTCTCAAAAAAAAAAAAAAAAAAAAAAAAAAAAAGACTATGTCCTGCTCTGTGGAGGTTCTTGTCTTAAAATATCCACTGTTGTTTGCCCAGATGTTGATGTAATTAGTTTAGCAGTCATACAGTTTAGCACTTGCATTAAATAGACCAAACCCCATAGTAGGTATTTGAAATACAGAATAAATGTGAGGTACCCCTGCTCTAAAGGAATTTACAGTCCAGAGCTGACTTATGGAGGATTTCTTTGTATTATTTCTGGCTCTGCTACTAATTTGTCTATTTCATGTCCTAATTATCCTAATTTATCATTGTTTTCATTTTGATTGAAAGGGGGAGAGCATAAAAATTGTGGTCAAAGGTAGTTTTATTTTATTTTATTTTTGAGATGGAGTCTTGCTCTGTCACCCAGGCTAGAGTGCAGTGGCACAATCTCGTCTCATTGCAACCTCTGCCTCCCAGGTTCAAGCAATTCTCCTGCCTCAACCTCCCGAGTAGCTGGGATTACAGGTGTGCACCACCACGCCCAGCTAATTTTTGTATTTTTAGTAGAGATGGATTCTGCCGTGTTGGCCAGGCTTGTCTCGAACTCCTGACCTCAGGTGATCCTCTCACTTTGGCCTCCTGAAGTGTTAGGATTACAGGCCTCAGCCACTGCACCCGGCCTAAAGTTAGTTTTAATCAGGGTCCAAACAGGAGATAGAAACCATGCAACAATTTGAATAGATGAATAAAGAATTACAAACTGGAGATTAGAGTAATAGAGAATAGAGTAATAAGACACAGGAACAGCATATATAAAGAACAACCATTTCCTCCTAGGGCTGAGATAGCATCCCCTCACCACACTGCCCCACCTACTGTCTGAGATGCATACCTTGTTGAAGAGAACGTAACTGGCTCGCTGCGAGGTAAAGTCAATGAGGCACTCCCCAGTACCACTCTGAGGGGATGCTGGGAAATACTGCCCGTGAGAAGAGTACACGTGCTGCTGGCCACTTGTGCTGAAGAACTTGAAGTCTGATAGGAATGCACCCTAACCTGGCATAGAAACCCCTTTCTCCTGCTGAGTCCCTCTAGCGCCTTCTACTGGCAAAGCTTCACATTGCAAACCTCCATTATCACAGAGCAAGCAATGAAAGATGGACTCAGAGCTGAGGCAATAAATTGATAGCTAGCATAGCCTCTAAACTGATTTTTATGACTACATTTTATGGATAGAAAGTGTTCTTGCATATATTGTTTCCTCACATGATAGAGGACTTACTTATTCTTGGTTGCAGATGAGAAAACAGATCCTAAGAAGTTAAGTGACTTGCCCAAGATCACACAAAAAAATTCCACTAGTTCTAAAATGAGAGTAACTACAGTTAACATATATTATATATGGCAGGTACATATAAAGCACTTGGCATGAATGTTTGGTTTTTTTTTTTTTTTTTGAGACGGAGTCTTGCTCCGTTGCCAGGCTGGAGTGCAGTGGTGCGATCTCGGCTCACTGCAACCTCTGAGTCCCTGGTTGAAGGGATTCTCCTCCCTCAGCCTCCTGAGTACCTGGGATTACAGGCATGTGCCACCAACTAATTTTTGTATTTTTAGTAGAGATGTGGTTTCATCATGTTGGCCAGGATGGTCTCGATCTCTTGACCTCGTGATCCACCCGCCTCGTACTCCCAAAGTGCTGGGATTACAGGCCTGAGCCACCGCGCCTGGGCACTTGGCATGAATTTAATTCCCACCATAAACCTGTGAGATAGGTAATTCTGTTATGTCCACTTTACAAATGAAGAAACTGAGGCAAAGAAAGATGATGTAACTTAACGCAAAGCTACACAGCTCTGAAGTAGTATGGCCAATATTTGAACACATTCAGACTCGATCCTGAGGTTTTGACCACTGTGTCATCCGGCCTCCTCAAATCTTCTGGCCACCACATACACCATATGTGCCATATGTGGGCTTTTTCTCCCCCTCCCACTATCTAAGGTAATTGTTCTCTTTTATTTTCCTGCCAGTTTAGAAATCAGTCCCCAGAATGTGGATGTTAATGTGCACCCCACAAAGCATGAAGTTCACTTCCTGCACGAGGAGAGCATCCTGGAGCGGGTGCAACAGCACATCGAGAGCAAGCTCCTGGGCTCCAATTCCTCCAGGATGTACTTCACCCAGGTCAGGGCGCTTCTCATCCAGCTGCTTCTCTGGGGCCTTTGAAATGTGCCCTGCCAGACATGAGAGCCCAGATTTTTGCCTGTTACTTAGGAACTTTCATTGCAAGTATTACCTTGATAGTTTTAACATTTTCTTCTTTGAACCTAGTTATAAAGGTATTGTGCTGTTGTTCCTAGGCTTAGAGTCATAAGGCCTGAGCTCACTTCCTCACTTTGCCTCCATCTGGAACCTTAGACCAACTTCCTAGGAAAACGAGCTGTCTGAAAACAGAATAGGGTGCCTCTTCAATGCGCTCTTCACTTTAGATGTTCAGGAGGAGGTTACTCCTACCTACACATGGCACAGTGGAGGGGCTGGACCCCAGGGAGGCAGTGGGAAGAGTGGAAAGAGCGGAGGCTCTACTGTTGGACAGACCTAGCTTACCAGCTGTGCGACTAACCTTCCCTGGCCTCCATATCCCTCTCAGTAATGGAGGAATGGATCATCCCCACATCCAGGGACAGTTACAAGCAGTCAGTGAACAGAAAGTCTCTGGTACAGCTTCTAAGTGCTGCTTATTCTAAGTCACTTCGCTTACCTGAGTTCTCAGTTTTGCGGTTTATAAGATAAGCAGGTTGGATAAAATGCTCTTCAATATACTCCTGGTTCTGAGATGATGTGATTGTGGACAGCCCTTTAATCATGGTGAAGATGTTCATCATAAGCACACTGAAACTACAAAATAGAAATATAAATATTTTCTGCATTAAATTATGCTGGATCCTAGAAGCAGAAACTGGACTTCTGTGAGAGCCTGCTTCACAGAAAACTTAAAATTCCCAAGCAGATGAATGCTTCTCAGAAGGACACTCACAGTTACCTACCTGGAAAGAATCTAGATGAAAGTGGCATGGGCACTAAGCGGTGAGATTAAACCCAGCTAGGGCAGACCCACCAGCCTTGGACCCCCCAACACCTAGAGATTATTGATGCAAAGAGGAAGGTTCTTACTGGTGAGACCTGAAAGGGATATGTGACAGACCTGAAAGGGATATGTGGTAGGTGGGAGGAAGAAGTTCTGTCTGGAAACCAACCCTTGTTCCTCCATTATTGATTGACTCCTGGTACCAACATGAGCCCTGGGTCTTACAGAGGCCTTAAGTCCCTATGCCTTCTAGTGCCCATGGATGAGATGAGGCCACACATGCCCCCAGTGGGTTAACGTGTCTAGCGTGAGTAAGGCTCTTGGAGCACTATGATACACAGGAAATACCCAGTAACTGTTAGTTGGTTTGATATCTGTTCCCGTTGCTCACTTAAGCTCAGTGCCCCTTTACCGCTCCTTTTTTTCTGCCTCCCTCTGCACATGTGCATCGAGAATCCTGAGACACACTGTGTTGGGTGCCCAGGGATGCAGCATAGATGTTGCTGCCTTCCACAGAAGCGCTCATGGACTACTAGAGAATATATCCCATGGGAGAGAAAAACAGACTCGGGAGAATATAGCAGGGGCCCTTGTCCTGGACTTGGTCAGTTAGGAAAGGGAGGGAAGAGACATGGAGCCTGGGACCCAAAGGGAGGGGGAATGAAAAGAGTATTTCTGGCAGAGGAAATGGCAAGGATAAAGGCCTGGAGGCGCAAGAGAATATGTGTTTGAGGATCTGAAAGTTGAGTGCAATGGGTCCAGTATATGCTACCCTGGCTGCCATTAGAATTACCTGGGAAACTTAGAAAATTCCAGTGTCTGGGCCCTGCCTAAACCAATAAATCATTCTTGGGTGGTGGGGTCTGGGCCTCAGGATTGTTTAAAACCCTCCCCAGGTACTGTCATGTGCAGCTGGGGTTAAGCTGTGCTGGGGTCTGAGTATGGATCTATTAGGACAAGCGGCAGTGGTAGAGTTGAGGCTGCAGAATTCAGGCCAAATAGAGAGGTTTTCTTCAGGATATTGAAGAGTTTAGATTTCAATTTCATGGGAATGGGTGGGATCTTACTTGCATTTTATGAAGAGCTCCCTGGTTGCAATATCAGAATGGACTGGAGAGGAGCAAGATAGAATCCTACAATGATTTGGGAGAAGTGGTGAGGGGCTTGAGACACAGGAAGTAGCCCCATTCACTAATAGTTGAGGATGTAGAATTGCCAAGACCTGGAAATGGTTTGGCTGGTGGGGAGTGGGAAGAAAGGCCCAAAGTGTGAAATGAAGATGGAGAGCACATTGCCTAGCACAGAGTGATTGCCGTTTGCTCTGTCCCAGTTGAGGTCCAAGGGGTTTGCCAGAGATCATATATGGAGTCTGTGGCTCCATGGGGAAAAGAACCTCTCAGCATGCCTGCTTGTCTTATCCTGGGTTAGTCAGATTCATTTTGTTAGATTACATTTTTTTTCTGGTGGAACTCTGTGTAAGTCCTGACCAGTGTGTTTTCAGAAGGATCAGAGGGCCTGCCCCTGTCGGTTGGTGCATGACACCAGCTTGGTGGGCTCCTTGCTGCTCCCTGTTTTCATGGATTATCAGAATACCTTCTCTCCCTGCCAGCAGCAGGTCACACTGGCTCCTGACTTTTTGGCCCATGGAGCCACCATCTTTCTGCTTCTCAGATTGTGCCTTGTACTCCACTGATCATGGCCAGTACATCAGAAGCCCTGGTTTGCAGTGAATGCATTTGGTGTGGAAATGAGGAACCCTGGGGATTCCACACATCATATTTGGTTGCCGTGTTTTTCCTCCAATCTTTCACCATAACAACAATCAACTCAGAAGATTTCTATAACCACTTATGTGGGGGTTTCTCCCCACACACTAAACAAGCAGTCAGTTCCACAGTGGACAGCAGCTGGTCTCCTCCAATTTAATTCCAACACTGTCTACTTGGAGATAGCATTAGATCCCACAGGTTCAGGGTACAGTCCCCTAGACTGCCCCCAGTCTCCTGCTTCAGGTACCAGTCACAAGTCCAGGACTCTAGAAGTTCTGACCAGTTTCAAGTTGGGGTCCCCAAGACCCCCCACTTTATTTTTTATTAATTTGCTGGAGTGGCTCATAGAACTCAGGGAAACGCGTACTTAGTTTTCTGGATTTATTACAAAGATTTAAAAAGATACCAATAAATAGCCAAATAAAGAGATACACAAAGCTAGGTCTGGAAGGGTCTGGAGCGCAGGAGCTTCTGTCCCCATGTACTTGGCTCCCAGCACATGGATGAGTTCTTGTTCATTTTCCTGTCAGCCTCAACATGTTCAGCTTTCCGGAAGCCCGCAAACTCTGTCTTCTTGGCCTTTTATGGAGACATCGTTAGGCAGGAGTGATTGAAACGTGGACAACTGTGTCAAAATATGATTGGACATAAAGGGGTCTAAACTCAGTAAGACCTGTTTGTTCAGATTCTTCTTGGCCTCTCTGTGGCCATTCTTTCCTCCAGGATATGGGGCAGGACCCCTATGGAATGAGGGTCTTATGACCCACAATCAGATTAGAGTCCTGCCTTGGGCAAGTGAAAGGAAAGCAGGAGAAGGTAGGGAAATTCTGTTTCCTAAGACCTTCTGAGGCCTACAGCACCCCAACATTGTAACAAAAGACTATAACAGGACTATGGGAGTTATGAGCTGGAAACCTTGGACAAAAATATATACATATTAAACAAATATTAAGTGTATACGTACTTATGTATATTAAGTATATACGTATGTGTAGATACATATATATATATATATTTTTTTTTTAATTTACAGGTACGTTTTGGGAAGCAAAAATTACCATAACTACTCTGAAAAATCTTTTAAGTCTGCTTGAAGTTAGAAAAGTCACTGTACCTTTTTGTTTCCATTGGCCCTGTACTTCCTAATATACCCCAGCAGGAGGTGCATAATGTCTTGTTATATCATTTTGGTGATAAGATTCATAAGTGGGTTCAGCTGGTGACAGCCTGATTCCCTCATTGTAAACTTACCCATCAACATGTAGCTTAATGGTGTCACCTTTCGTTGATGACCATTACCTGAATCAGTTATTTCATTAGATTGCAAGATTATGATTTTCTGATTTTATCATTTCTTCTGTATTGACTGTAATTCTTTCGTATAGAAGAACTTTCCCTTGTTATAGCTATTTGGTTGTCCTGAAGTACAGTTCTTACTAGA